ATTTCCCATCACACCCAGGCCCTCTGTATTGGTACTACATTTCCCATCACACCCAGGCCCTCTGTCTTCTCCTTGTGGCTCAGTGTTTACCAGAGTGTACAACTACTCTTTGCACCACCCTTTGAGGAAGGACTTCTCAGTGGAGCAATACTTTGACCAGGAACCCCTGGTCTGTAACCACACAGCCTATACTTCAAGGTTACTTTTATTACTAGTGAAACATGACCATGGCAAGCTCCTTACTTCTCTACAGATTTTTCTCTTCCGTATCAGGGGTAACATGCACTTACTTTGTGTTCTGATATGAATTCAATAAAATAAGGTTTCAAACTGCCATATCAGTGTTATCAATAAAGACAGCATTCACAGATATTATCTCTCATGAGGCATCTAGTTAGCATGTGGGCTCCGGAACTCTTCGGCAATTATGGTGCCAGATATACAGTATCTGTGCCAGGTTTAAGAATGTGCCTTTATTGATCCATCTGTCTGACTATCCCACCATCTACCTTGGCAATAGTTCAGCTCGGCTCCTTCCTGCTCATCCACTCACCCACATATTCCACAGGCTGCACAGCTGGCTGTGGTTTCTCCTGGGCCGACATTCTTGTTGGGTTAGAATATGTGATCAACCCACTAGCAATCTGTTACTCCAGCACAGGGATACACTCATTATCATATTAGGCAGATTATGAATCCGAACAGTCAAGTTTCAATGGTCAATGTGAAACTATATTTGCTCAGCTGAAAAATCTTTATACTAAATTGACTGCCCATCATTTAGCCAGCCGTACAGTGGCTACGTGCCATCTTACCCCTTTCCTGGCTGTTCATCTCCCTGTTAAATATGCTGCTCCTCTGATTTCATTACTTTTTGACAAGTCCATTCAATTTCTCACCACTCAAATTGTCTTCTTTATAACCTGGAGGCTTCCCTTTCTTCTTATGTTCAGTTTAAATATCTCCTGGACTCAGAAGTGAGTCCAAAAATTTTCAAGATGGATTGCATCCTATCAAGACCACGTTTGTGACAATGAAGGACCAGTATGTGTCTCAACCTGTGGGATTAGAGCCTTAAGTTTGGATAGAAGGATAACAGAATTCACATAGGCTTATTTGGGACTAATAGGACATAAGGTGACACTAAGCCTTAACAGTTTTAGAAATTAAATCATTTAATTTTCTCAAGCTTCCCATGTAGCCTAACTTACGTATCTACCAGGCCAAAGCACAAGACGTGTGTTTGAATCACTCACCCTACCCCCTTTGGTACTAAATTCCACTGAAGTAGAAAGAGAAGATATTTTCCCTACCAAGGTTGCCATGTTGAAAGGGTTTTACAATGGCCACTAAGTCCTTAAGAACACTCAGGAAAGGTTCTTAAGACTAAGGTTCTGGAAGACTAAGGATAAGACAGGCACTAGAATATAGGAGGATGCTAGAGAAAGGTAAGGCAATGGAAAAGGAACTCATTGCAATAAGCTGGGGAAATAGAGCATGGCTGGGTACTAGAAGGGTGGGGCGATGGAAGGAGATGGAGTGACAGAGGGGTGGAATGGTGGGGGGGACTGGAGTAGTAGAGGTAGATAGGATACTGAAGAATTGAGGTGATTAGAGGAAGAGGGATAAGAAAAGGAGATGAAATGATAGAAGGATGGGATGGTGGAGGGAGATGGTACCCTGAAGGTTGATGAAGGGAGGTGGGGTAGTGGAAAGCTAGGGTGATAGAGAAAGATGGAATGAGAAACATAATTAGGATAATGGAGAGTTGAGGAAATGAAAGGATGACGTAATGGAGGGAGGGAGGGACTGAGAGGTTGGGGTAGGAGGGAGTTGAGATGATGACATAGTTGGGATACTAGAGGTTGGGATGACAGAGGGAGGTAGGGTACTAGAGAGAGCTGGGGCAGTGGAGAGAAGCTGGGTAATGGAGGTAGTGGGGTACTGAAGCAATAAGGTGATAGAGAGAGGTGACAGAAGCCTGAGCAGATGGAAGGAGCTGGGATACTGGTGATAGGTAGGGTACTGATAAAATGCTATAGATGACACTGAAGTGGTGATGAAGACATAGGTTGGAACAATTTTGAGATACTGGCATATCTGAACTGCACAGTCAAAGCTTTGTCCACATTGATGCAGAGAAACATCATCCTCCACTGTTTCAAATTATCAAAGAATAACAGTAAAGCAAAGCCAAGATATTACATATATGTACAACTTTAAAAAGCTCACAGTACTTCCTAGGTTTGATGACTAACACCTCAATTCCCCGGTAGGATTTTAAGTTGTTGAAAATGTAAAATCTGTATAACTTTTTAGAAATTCCTATTCCTGTGTGCTAAATTTGTGAAAGTCTTTGAGTACCATACAGTCTCAGTCCTCTACGAGATTGCTTTTTTAATGTAAAGATTTCATTTTTTATTTTTAATGAGATGTATATTTGTGTCTCTGTGTGGGTGTATGGATGTGAGTTCAGTGTCTTCAGCAATAAGAAGAAATCTCATGGAGCAGGTGGTTGTGAGCCACCTGATGACTTAAGTTCTGGGAACTGAATCTGTGTCCTCTGTAAGGGCAATAAGCACTCTTAACTATAGAGCCATTTCTCCATCCTCTCTACAAGGCAAACTATATGCCAGAAGACATAAGACATGACCATCCTTTATTTCTTAGACTGCCAGACACTCTGAGAGTTAGAAAGAGGTAGGTAGCCACAGCAATGGCCAGACTCAGCAAGGGTGCCAGAGACTTAAGAGCCAGAAGCCCCACACTTCCCATACTGTGATCCATTCTCAAGGTTTATTTGAATTACACCACATGGGAACTTACGAGTAGCTTACCCAGACACCTTGTTTCAGATCCACTCCAGAGACCATTGGCCAAGCACTCCCGGACATGGGAGCCCACAAGTGTGTAGCCGGTGTTGCAGGTAAAGATGGCAGTGGCTCCGTACATAGTGAGCGTCCCTATCTTGTTACCATTTGGTGGAAAGGACAGGCTTCCACAGGAGATGACTGGAAGAGAAAAACTGTGTTAGTCCAGGTCTGAGTGATAGCAGAAAGTCTGGGTTTTGGTTTTCCTAAACGGCAGGCAGCAGGGAGGTCTGTTAGGTGGTGAGGTTTTGTCTGCTGGGGCTTGATGGGTCAGTTGTCTCAGTTGGATTTTCCTTCTCTATTGTTCTTAACATAAAGTCCCAGATGTCCTAGCATATCCCAAAGCCACCAAGGTCCCTGCAGTGGCCCATACCTTTTTTATTCTCACAGATTGATAACCATTTCTTCAAAATGGACTCAGTATGTAATTGCAGCAACCCACAAGATGATCTACTAACAAGTAGACTGTCCATTTTTTTCCTATACCCACCCTAAGAATGATGCATCTGTGGGAGCACTAACATGTACCTTTCAGGGACATGTAAAGTGTCTTCACCAAGACCCACCAGCCCAAACATAGCCTGGTGTGTTGAAATCCAGCACCTTTGACTCAGCACCTAGATCATTTTCTTTCCAGTTATTTGTAGGACCTAAGGTTATCCTTACTGTCTCAGATATGATGGCATATAGTTTCTGTGACTCCAAATTAGCCCATTCATGGAGGTAAATAAATGGTCACCAACAGTAGAAATACTAATGACAGCCATGTATTTGCATCTCAGATGCATAAACACGTGAGGACAAAACCTACTGAACCTTGTAGTAGGAAGAAAAATTCTAAAACCTTCAAGGCTGACTGACCAACAGGCTTACAGGTGTTTAAACAAGAGTGGAGGTCTTAGAAAAGATACCCAAGGAGAAATGTTAAGATCACTTACTAAGCAATGGCATGTGCAGGAGAAGGCCATGCCAGGAAGTGACAAAAAGGCAGAGCTCTGAACCCCAGTAGATGGGCAAGAGATGGGGAGAGAACATAATCGTGAGGAAAGTGTTTTGCTCAGCCAGGTGAGCATGGCCAGCCTCCTGACAGTCTCTGGTGTCTGATGGGACTGAGGATGGCTAAGGACAGTGAAAGGCTATGCTGAAGACTATTTAAGAAACTGAGTCAACAAGGTAGTTGGTATCTTAGTTGATTTTCTCATCTCTGTGACAGGATACTTTATAAAAGTGACTTACAGAAAAGAGATTTATTTTAGCTTACAATTTCATGGTGGGAAAGGCATGGTGCTATTGAAAGCAGTGGATCCTTATCCAATGAGTGTGTCAGGAGCCTGAGGCATCCTCCTCACCTCTCCCCAGCCGACAACACAGCAGAAAGAGATACAAACCTTCAAGCTTGACCCTCTGATAATCTACTTCCTCCAATAAAGCCATGACTTCTAAAGGCTACAAAACCTCCCAAACAACTTCACCATCTGGGACTAAGTATTCAAACAAGTCTGTATGAAATCTCACATGTAAACCACAATGGTCTTGACCCAAGAGGGCTGGAGCATTGATAACTTGGAGCCCAACCAGTAGAGCCATGATTGACATGTGAGTGGACCATGAGGACTTTGACCTCATCCTAGAATGAATCCACTGATGGATTAAACCTCATAATGAACTCTTGGGATATTGTAGAGATTAGGGAGAATGAGCCTAGTTAGAGAGGGGGTACTTTGAAAGATACATCTTATTCACTTTGAAAGACATACCTTACCTATGACCTTCCTCTGTTTTTTTCTGCTTTCTGGCAACCTTGGATGAACAACTTTATTCTTCTGTTCTACTCAGTAAGGTCTCACTACATTCGAAACAGCAATACAGGTGTACAAGCCACAGACCCATGGGAAACTCTGCAATTATGACCCAATGAAATTGTCCCTTTTTGAAATTGCTTTTCTCGTCCAGGTAATGTGACTCTTGTCCATAATCCCATCCACCATTTTGGAGTCTGAGGCTAGAGGATTGCCATAAAGTCCCAGCAGGCCTGGTCTACTGGATGAGAGATCCTATCTCAAATTACAAAATAAAATTAAATTGCTCAAAAAACCATTTTCTTGGGTTTTTGTCACTGTGATAAAAAAAAATCTAGCACAGAGTCAGAGGAAGAAAAATGATATGAGTGTACCATTGAAATAGCCCCTCTTCGTTCAGCTTCTCTGAATATAAGATATGACTCTCACTCAGTAAACAGGCAGACCTGCTTGGCTTGCTAGATACGATCTATAGGGGTCACTTGCCAGGAATCGGGAGTCCACCTCCAGACAAAATCTTGCTGAGAGAGCCTCCACATTTCTTAGCGTCCGAGAGACTGCTAAGCTAAACCTTCACAGCGGCAAGTGTGAGCTTTCAATAATTTGCTAGCATGTACCATATCAAATGTCAATGGATTCAAGAGGGATTTAGGTTTTTATAATTTGCTGTGAACTTTTCTCTAAGCCTTTTTCCAAACACTGAGTGAACCCTACCTTGAACTGTGATATTTAGCAATTCATGTTGAAACTTTCAGTGCTTATCAGAGATGTGTTCAATGACAAGGCTGGACCAGTTTCCTAGCTGAGAGCTCCGCAGACCTTTATTGGAAGAACAGGGAGAAGATGCGCATGGGATTCTATCCTCTCAGCCTTGGCTCGAATTATCCTGGTGAGGAGACTATTTAAAGTCTATCCTCTAATGAGGCTCATTAGATCACAAGCAACTAACAGAACAACCACTGAGCTTCTGGGCAGCTGGATAATGGGATTCTAAGCCTAGAGTTTCTCTTGGCTGTGAACCCCGCTCATTAGTAAGGGTGGCAGAGCAACTTGGAAGAGCCTAATTGGGGAGACCATCAGCACTAAAAATAACCTTGTCACAAAACAAGGAGAAAGCCTATCTCTATGCTAGCCTCCCTTCTGGTCCAAAAATGGATTCATTAGCTGTGCTTTTCCCCTACCACTCAAAACATGTCCACACTCACTGTTCACAGTACTCTCAGAACCCATGTGGTGTCTTTGCACAGCAAAGGTGCTAAGTTGAGCTGACCCAGAGGACACTCTGTGAGGGCTCTCCGAATGTTATTTTTCTACCATAGTGGTGGGTGACAAGCCACTCCTCATAGGCACACTTCTTTCCCCCCTCCTCTAGAATTCACAGTGAGATCTACTTTGAACCAGTAGCCTGATAGCATGTGTTTTCTCATACCATGAAGCTGGCGTTCCTGTCAGCAGCATGGACCCTTATAAACAATCTTAAACATCGATGCTTTCGACTGCTATAGTCAATACAGCTCCATGATCACACGCAGCTTAAAGTAACCATGAACAGTCAAAGAGCAGTACACTCTGCCAGGTGTGAGATGAGGCAGGACATGCGCAGAGACCTGGAGATGATTGTAAACGCATAAGAGAGTAGTGTTGGACTACAACCCAAGTCACTGTGTGAGGCCTACGGGCCCCCAGCTATGATCTGTAACTGGGTGTAAGGCTGAAGGCCTCATACAAAATGAGCATGCTCATGATGGAAACAGCTGCCTGTACAGCAGTGAGCAGACACTAGAGCTACTGCTGAGTCTCTCTTGTTCAAGCCATGATGTACAATGTCCACTCTAATAATAGAGTAACAGTCGTCCTCAAGCAAGAGGATGGGATGTCTGTGCTGATTTTTGTGGATAGACCTCTGCCTTTGTGTTTAGCCATCGGTCCGTGCATGCCTCTGGCTAGCAACTGGAAACCAAAGAAGCCATCTTGCACCTCAGTTTGGTAAAGATCCACTCTCAGAAAACTTGGAATTAGTAGTTAGGCAACAGGGACAGTCTAGGGCATGGGTGATATTCTCTGTATACATTTTTAAAGGTCTAGTTTGGCCTTTTGTATATACATAAAATTTAAACTGTAAAGATTTCTGATTCATGGATCTCCACAATAAGCATGTTTCTTGCTTTTTAAATATAAACAATATGAAGTGTGAGAGAAAGAATGGCTGGATTCCCCATTGCATGTGTATTTTGTTTTCCTCCTACAGAGGGAGGACTTCAGCGGGAAGATTTCTTCCTCCTGTGCTGTGGACACACAGGGACTCTGAGACCTTAGAATCACTTGGAGTGATAATATCAACTCCCACCCCCATCCCCAACCCCAAGAAGCTAGAGAACTTAGTTGTTCTCAGAGAGCTGTGATGGGGGTGACCAGCAAACCAGGAAACTTATCACTCAGGATCCTGAGCAGACACATAATGGAAAATAGTAGGTTCCCTTCACATCTCATTGCCTGGCCATTCTGAGATAAGCCACAGGTAACTAAAACCTTATAAATTACAGCTCCAGTGCTATACCAATGGTTTCCATGACAACACATTTGAAGATGCTGCTGATTCTGTCCCAGCACAATATGGAAAGCAATGGTTTCTTCTGTAGGGATCTAGTCACAGGCTAGAAAACCGGGCTTAGAAAAATGTGTCATTCTAAGTATGTTTAATTGAGAAATTGAATGGTGTTTGAACTTCCTGGGGTTTTTGTGATCCCATTTCAAAGAAAAGTATATTATTACCAGTATTGGTTTTGTATTTTTACGAGTGTGTATGGATAAAATAGGGAACATAAAAAATAAAGAAAATTTCAGTTACAATAAACTATAACTTCATAAGAAATAACAAACTAACACATTCACTGATTTCTGTAGATTCTAGAAAATGAATATGTAACATCCTAATTTCTTTCTTTTCCTTCACTTTCAGAAGGGTCAGACCTGGGATTCTTTGACTCCTTCTCAGCAGCCTACTTACTCTGATTGTTCTGAGAGAGGAGATTTTTGTCTGACTTAATTTCCCTATTTGTTAGAAAGAGAAGTACTGTTAGATACTAAAGGAAAGCTGGCTGTGGAGGATACCTAGTAACATGAATATTCATGAGGGCACAAGGAACAGGTGGGAGGGAGATTGAAGACAAAAGCTAACTGAGTGTGCTTATTGCTGTTCCTGCATCTCTCCCCTCCTTTGCATCTGAAATGAGATGCCTGGACATTTGAACAATGTGTCCATCACAAATAGCTTCTCCAAAGTACAGCTCAAGACTACAGAAGTCTCCAGTATCCTGTCAGAGTCCACCTTCTACTCAGCTCTAGACTATGAACTACTTGAGTTTTTATGCCTCCACTAAAATGGCACAAAGAAGTTCTGAGCAAGCAGGGAGGGCTCAGCCACACCCATGCAGCCTCATCCCATAGAGACTCAAAAGGACACTCTTCTCACAAGCTATTGTTCTGCTTAAAAAAAAAATCCTTATTGTTTAAAAAAGTATATTATTTTATATTGGTATGGAAGAGACTTGTTATTTTATATAAATTAATATCCATTTATATCTTCTCAGTTTTTGTTAAAATTTCTTAAATATTTTGAAATAGTTAGCTGTTTCAATTTATAATATAGGGAAGAAAAATTTCAAGAAATCTTCAAGCTTTTCCCCTTGGCCACAGACCTCTGTGTAATCTCCAGTGTAGTGTTTTATTCAGACAGGGCTGTCTATAGGTTCCAAGTCAGTTCACTTTTAGTTTCATGGGTGAGACTGACAGGGTGAGGCTATCCTGGAAAGATGAGCCCTTAAAAAGGCCACTTTGTTCCTGTCTTCTGAGAGATGGAAACCATGAAGCCGGAGAGGGTGAAGGACATATGTTAGAATCTGAGAGTGGATCCCATTATCTGAGTTCATACGCTGAGAACCAGCCATAATCACAAGGACCCATACTCTGCCTGTGAGTGTGGGCAGACCCAGTCAGACTCATGCCCAGACAGGACTCCAGTAGCACCATAAAGGCAGCTCTGGACAGCCCCGGGGAGGGAACACACAAATCCTGTGGATCCATCTAACTTTACACGCTACGTCTATGAGTCCATCCCTTGTCACATGCTGAACCTGTGGGCCCACCTAATGTCAAAAAAAGACATTCTGGGCCCATTCAGTGTCATATGAAGAACCTGTAGACCCACCCAATGTCACATGAAGAACCTGTGGCTCCATCCAATGTCACAAGCAGAACTTATTGGCTTATCCAATATCAAATGCAGAACCAGCAGGCTCATCTAATGTCACAAGCAGAACCTATGAGTTTATCCAATGTAATATTCAGAACTCGTGGGCCGATCGAATGTCAGACACAGAACCTGAGGACTCATCTGTGTCACATGGAACCTCTACATTTGGGACAAGTGTTTGCCCAGCCACAGACACAGCTCTTCCTGTAGTACTGACTGCACTGTAACCTTGACCACAGTTGTTTCTGAACTTAGGGACCCTCTCCACAAGGGCCTGTGGGAAGAGGCTGGAGAATATTCTGAACTCCCAGGTGTCATTTTCAAAGCATTAGCAAGAGCAAACAAGGTCTAGACTGCTAGACAGCACCATAACCTGCCACAATAAGTCAGGAGTGACTGCCCTGATGCATCTATGTTTCCAAAAGGGAGTCTCTAAAAATTAGCAAACTTTTTTTCAATAAAAAAATTCCAAAAGGCATAAATAGAAAAAAAATTGATAATAACTGTGGTGGTTTGAATGAGAATGGCCTTTATAGGCTCATATATTTAAATACTTGGTACCCAGTTGGTGAAACTATTTGGGAAAGATTAGGAGGTGTGGCCTGATTGGGGGATGGATATCATCACTAGGGTGTACTTTGAAGTGTCAAAAGCATATGGCATTCTAGTTAGGTCTCTATTTCCTGCTTGACTATCAGGATGTGAGCTCTTATCTGCTGAACCAGGGCCATGCCTTTGTTTTCCTGTCCTGGGCAGTAACCCATGGCCCCCTAAGCCTGATTAAACTTCTTTTATACGTTGCCTTGATGATGGTACCTCATACAGCAAAAGAAACGTGACTAAGACAGCAGTGGAGTCCCAAGAGGTCCTGGGCCCTTCTTTGTCTTTCTCAGACATAGATTTTCATCTTCAAAACACTCTCCCAGGGCACCCTGGATCCATGAACAATATCTGGGTAAACATTCTGTCTTTATAAGATGGCAAGGGTTTCCGAGATGCAGAAGAGACAAGATGAAATCACAGCAAAGGGGTTGTCCTTGCCAAGACGGACAACCTGAAATCCAGACATGAATAATACATCTAAAACAAAGCGTCATTTCAGGTGGATTCTACTGAGTCTATAAAATACATATGTGCATCTATGGTGTCATGCAAATGAGACACAATGCAGCATGTGGCACTGAACTCATATTCAGCCACATGTGGCAACAAGGAGTCTCCAGCATGCACGTGTGGAGTCAGAAGGTGGGTACAGGTGATGTGTGGCTCCTGACACATCAGATGGAGTTAAAGAGCAAAGGCATGTGTGTGTGTCAGGACAATTGATTTCCAGAACCTCAGGACAAGCATAGCGCCAGAATAGCTGGACTTGGTTCTGTGTTCTTTTCTAGAAAAGGGTACCTTGCTGCTTCTGGGTTTGGTTCAAGAATCAGTAAAGCCCCAGGTTTGCAAAGACTCACTTGTAGGTGTAAAGTATTCTGGAATTGCACCTTCAGGCAGTGGTATCAAGATGACCCTGCCTATCAAGATCTTGACATAGGCTGAGAGGGACACATCATAGAGCCTTAGAATCAGGGCTAGGAGAGTATGCAGAGCCTGCTGCATCTACAGAAGGCCTTCCATGAACTCCTCAGAGAGGTCAAAGTCATCATGTCAGAGCCTCTGCGCTATTCTTGTCTCTTCTTGACAGACCTAACTCTGGGCTCCCAAATCACAAAGAGGCTCTAAGGAGCCAATGATATGGGTGAGTGGCATGAGTGTGGGAAGAGTGTATCAGGATGATGGCAGGGAAAATTAACTGTGGGATCCTAGCTGGGCATTGGATACCTAAAGGAAGGAGCCATCAGAGCCACCAGGAACCATCACAGCCAAACTGACAGCAGCTTTGGGAAGGGTGTCCTAGGGAAGTAGGGTATTTAGGACTTGAATGTTTCATGTCAGCATCCTTCCATAGTTATCCCTAGGTTCCTGGGAAGAGCTTATCTTACATGAAGAATTAGCATTTCCTGTATTAAAAGTCAGATGGAAGTTATTATGTAAAGCACCTAATCACACACGCCTTTGTTTCTCTCCTTTTTATTCTACTTCCATTCTTCCTACATTGTGTACTGCATAAATTTCACACAGTCCAACTGTGTGTTTCAATGTTTGATAATTTCCTGTCAACAATCAGTAAAGATTGGATATCAGAGGTGTACAAATCAAAAGGCGCTCTGAACAGTGTCAGCTTTGTCTCTTATTTATTCATATTTAACCAGTCATCATGTACCTGAGAGTATAATCATCTCCCTTTTCAAGACAGCCATTGTGGAGGACGGATTCCTTCAGCATAAAGACTATTTCCCAAGATTCTAGTGAGAAGTTTGTCACGGCTTTCATGCAGAAGACTAGCCAGCTCTTCAAACGCGTGCTTTCATTTGTCTTTAAGCTCAGATGTGAAATATGTGACTATTCTAATTTTCTGAAGTTTATAAAATACTGTCATTAAGAAAGGAGCCCAGTGTTAGGGATTTGATCCTTTAGCACCTGTTTGAGCTTGCCATGTTAACACAGGGCTCTGCTTTAGTCAGCAGGATTATGATGGGGTCCTGATAGGTGTTTCCAATGATGCTGTATCCTGGAGTTCTGCACCCTGTTTGTGGGAGGGCCCACCCTCACTTACCTTTACATCTGGGTCTGTCTTCTTCAGTGCTCCAGGTCCCATTGGCTTGGCACTGCAAGAGCCTCTGACCCTGCAAGAAGTAGCCAGGGCTGCAGCTGAGGAGAACTTGAGCTCCATATTCATTCAGTGATCCTGAAACCAGCCTCCAGAGCACGTGCTCTGACAGCTGGCCTTCGATGCTGGGGCAGGGCACCGCTGTGAGAGAAACACCTCAGCGTCAGTATGGCCTCCTGACAGCTCTTCCTGTTACTGCTCTAGAAGGTAGGGACTGATGGTATGTGAAACTCATTGTGGGGTGTGGCCTGGATGCTCTCAACTCTTACTTCACGATTTCTCTGTTTCTACGTAATCATTTGGGAGGCATCCTGGGATTCCAGCCTGGGAGCTACTGTCTGGGAGCTAGTGTCTTGCTACAGGCATGGAAAGGGTCTTGCAGTCAGACTGAGATATAATGGTAGGATACTATTTCTTCGTCATTTGTCACATATGTGTACACACATGCACTCATTTACAGATGGGTACATGAGCACACACCTATCCTCACACATGTACATTTATAGATACATACACACATGTGGAAACTCACATGCATATTTACATGTATGTACATGTAAACATACATGCACAAATAAACACATGTGAACGTTTGCCCACAATATAGCTTCTGAAAGCATGTGAAAATAGGCATGCATCATTACCATTGTAGAAAAAAATGATTATTATCGTAATTTAAAGGAAGGACTTACTATGCTCCAAGACAAAAAAAAAAAAAAAAGCCAGAAGCTCTTGAGTGCAGAGCCATGAACGTAGCTGCAGTATCAGCTGTAGGCTTGGACACAGCCCTAACACAGTAGACTCCAGAGAACTTTCAGACAGACTGAGATTCACAAACTATTTGGAGGCTATGCAAGTATAGGTTTGTTTATGAAAAGTATGCTAGGAATTTAAATGAGTTTTGCAAGTTAGAAAGAAGCAAGAACCACAGCATTAAGCACAAAGCTTCCTTCCTTGATATCTGTCACTGTCAGCTGGTTACTCACACAAGGGGAGGGGCCAGCTTGGTCAGTCATGAGCTCAGAAACAACAGCTGGAGAAATTGTAACTTTCCCGGAGTGATAATAATGGAATGAATTTTGCTTTTAAATTTCACCCACACTCATTGTAATTGAATCTGCTGTGTGAAATGCTACAAAATCTGTCTCCTATGATGACATTCAGTTCTACCTTCAAATAAACTACAAAGAACAGATACTTTGGAGTAAAAATATGAGGTTAAAAAAATACAAAAAAAAATTAGTAATTTAAAAGTATTCTAAAGGTTATGTCTCTTAGATGTTTGCAGATTCAGCAGCTATCCTATGTGACCATGGATGTACAAATGGTTTGCTTAATAGTCAAAATTATGCCTTTCTATGGCTAGGATATGTTTAGCTATGTCCATAAAGCCCTCAACCATAGGAAGTCTGAACGCAGCGAAGTGTGGCAAAAGGCATTCCCTTTGCCAGCACGTGCTTCTAGAACTAACTCCAGATTTCTAATCATCTGATCTATCACAATCTCTGCTTCCAGGGAGGGTTGTGCATTGGCTCAAGGTGGAAGGACAGTTTTCCTCTGGCTAATTCTATCCTCAGCACCAATCCTACATGTCCACAGCTGTCTTGCTTCTTTGTGAAAACAATGTTTAGTTCACTTTCTTTGTCTTCTAATTTAATTGTTTGTGTCTCTTGCCCTCTGATTGGTGACAAGCTTATTAATACTGTAACCACTATGTATTCTATGTTTTTTTCATAGTTTTTACAGGTAAAATTGAAGATAAGATAGTTTTCCTGTCATGGAGGCTATTCTCAGTGAAACCACAGATAGCCGTGAACAGCATGCTATGTGTACAATAGTGAAATGCAGTCTATGAATATTGCATGGGAGGCATCAATGATGATTCCCAGTGATAAATTAACAACAACAACAACAACAAAACAATTATACAGCATGCTGTCCGGTGTCTGTGAATGACCTCTGTCTTAAGAGTCACAACAAACACTAGCACTCTGGGGTTGTAGTGGACCACGATCCACCACAGGAGAGCACAAAGGAATGAGGATCATCACCCAGGAGGAAACTTGGAGACCTGGGTGGGCATTAACAGTAAAGTCCACCTTGTCTTTTGTGTGCTGCAGAAAGAGCACATACTTTCAGAAACTGCTTCCTGCTGTGCTTTTTATGTTTTCAGAGCTGATCTGTAGAACAGACTATGCAAAGCATGAATCGCTCACAGTTATTATCTGAATGATCCATGGCATACGTTAGGTGGTGAAATCCTGAGTCACACAGCCCGGACGGTGGAAAGGAAAGTCCCGGAGTGTAATGGTGGATGAGGCAGCATCTGTGAGTTTGCCTGTGTCTACATCTGCATCCCTGCAGGGAGGAGCTGTTTTCATACATGTGGGTTGTCTGTCTGTATGCACCCCAAGTACCATGTTGCATGCCATGAATATGAAAAATAAAGGTTGATTTAAGTAAAGAATTAGAAACCAATCCCCCAAAGACATTCTTGCTCATAAACTTGATACTTAATAATGTGCATCTTAAGCGCCAGATTTTTCTGGTTCTTAGTAACTGTTCTTGAAGCTTTCACCATCCTGTCACCGAGGGAATGCACAAGGTCACCTCTCCCCAGCACGCCACTCTAGTGGATATACCTCAGCAGAATTTTAAGCGAGTGGAGGTTAAAAGATCAAATGTGTTGGGCAGAGGTGAGAGACACATGACTGCTTTGAGGTGCGATAGTGAATACTCACGGAGTTGTGCATTCTACTAACATCTTCATTCCGGATGTTACACCAAATAGAAGAATAGGGCAAAGCAAAATGGAGAAACTTATAGGATCATGCAATTCCCAGAGCTCAGCGATCAAACGTGACAACATCTGGAAACAGAGTGCACTTCGGCTCATAGCCTTGAGGGTTGAGGGAGATGGAGCAGGGCAGCAGTGGCTTGAGTCTCAGGTTACCTGAGTGACACATGGAAATGCGTCTCTCACTGGAGGATTAAGAGGCACTGGAAGTGGCCCATGTGCTGTGGTTTTCAAGACAACATGCCTTCATTCTGATAGAAATGTGTTAAGAGTGGGTTCTTTCAGCTGCTAGTTACCTGACACTCCAGATGAGAGGACAGCTACTGCCCAGATGTGTAACTCATTTTGTATTGGTGCCATGTCTGTCAACAACATGATCATCACAATCACAGTCACCTCCATCACCTCTATTTCCATGACTACACCATCACCATCATCCCCACCATCTCCATCATCATCTTCATTATATTATTTACACTACACAAACAAGACAGCCAAGGCTCCGGTCAACTCAGGCAAGACTTCCCTCCTGTGTAGCATCTCTCAGAGTCTCTCTGCTTTATACTTTGCTTGTCAACACCAAAAGCAAAATTCATTCCGTAATTACTATAAATAGATGGTAGGCAAAACCTTCTTACATTCATCATGGGGGATATAAATACCACAATAGACAAACATCAAACAAATAACAAAGTCTTTGAAGGAAGGTACAAATATTTGATATAACTGAGGAACACAGGAAAACAAGTCCATGTTACTATGAATTTAATCAGTACATTGTTGACAACTGACTAAATTTTCATGGTTGATTCTATTATAGTTAAATATGTCCCAACTTGTAGGGTGTGCAAAGTTATCCACAAACCTGAAATTCCTTCTGTTTGTACTTTTCCAGGAATATAGGCTCTCTTCTGTTACATAAAGAAAACAACCACCATAGGGACATATTTTTCCCTCTCAACCTAGGGAGCATTCGTAGCAGTTCATCCCAACAGACTCGACATGGCGTAACCCACTCACTGTTGACACAGTTGATACAATCTTTGCACCAAAACCTAATTGTACTTCCCAAAGTAAGAGTTGAAATCACAAAGAAGAATGTCTTTGTACAACAAACACATTTTCCCAACTTCTGAATCTCAAGGATGCAGAGAAGACACTTGGATTTGACCTGGGAAATCTTAGTTTGCGTTAAAATAAATAAGGTTGTTCTACGTCTGTCTATCTGTCTGTCTATCATCTATCTATCTGTCTATCATCTATGTATGTATGTATCTGTCTGTCTGTCTGTCTATCTGCATGTGTGTGTGTGCACATGCACTCATGTGTATATGTCTATCATCTATCTATCTATCTATCTATCTATCTATCTATCTATCTATCTACCATCCATCTATCATCTATTTATCTGTTTGTATGTGTGTGTATGCACATGTGATCACGTGTGTCTGTCTGTCTGTCTGCCTGCCTGTCTGTCTGTCTGTCTGCCACAGAATGAAGGTATCATTAAAGTCCAGAAAAAGGCATCAGGTTCCCTGAAGCTGAAGTTATAGGTGGTTGTGAGCCAATCAACATGAGTGCTGGGAACTGAACTTGGGTCTTCTGAAAAAGTGGTATGCGTTCTCAATTTTGGAGCTATTTCTAATGCCTGGCTGTCAGTTTTGTGGAGAAAGAGTCTGGTTTCTTATTGACTATTTGAGACAGGGGCAAAGCAGCAAGGCCAGCTGTTCTTTCCCTGGAGACGTTCATACTATGGCAAGGCTGCTACCAGAAATATAAAGTGCTCTCTCTGTATTTGGTCCTTACCAGGACTCTTCCCTGTTTGTCTAATCATCCCATAAGTGTGGAATATAATTGTCTTCTTATTTTCTTTAAACAGTTTCCCCACATCATACTCATGTGGCTAAGTATGTCTTATTACCACATTTAGTTGGAGCACATTTAATTAGATTTGTAAAATTATGATTAGATACCTTTGGAGTGAAATAATTTAATCATCCCTGTCCTTCGCATTCACAGCTGAAGCAGAGTCTTTGCAGCCTGCCAGCAGCCTGCACTGATGGGCATGAGGGAAATGGGCTGAGCCATGGAACTTCAGAAGCCCAAGGAGCAAGACTATTAGCTCAGGAAATAATCAATTGATTGAAGTTATGATTGCTCTTTTAAGTTCTGTGTCTTGTGGTTTATCTAAGTAATTCTCAGTAAGAACATTTTTCCAAGATTGGTGGATTTAGGGAAGATAGCTTTTCTGGGTCTTTTATAGCATTTATATTTTTATTATGAAACCTTAGCATGTGGCCTTTTTTCATCGACGTGTGTCTGATATGCACAGGCTGCCCTGTTGAGTTGAAGCTTGACTTTATTGCTTTCTCAAGTGTGGTTGCTTTCAGATCAGATTAGAGGTGTTGGTAGGTTAGTCTTCCTGGTGTTCTCTGTTGATTTTGGAGAAATAGGGTGGGGAGATTCTAGTCACTGGTTAATGAAAAGCTGAGCCTTGCTGAGGAGGGATATAGGCACCTTTGCAGCTAAGCTCTTCCCTTTACTCACCATTGATCTGGTTTATAGCACAGTCAAGTTTAATGTCTTGAATGCAATTCCTGGACATAGTTGTTCAGACAGACAGTAAATAAATGCCTGTTTTCAAAAATATTAGGCTTGTTGCTACTATTCTGTGTCTGTCCTAGAGCAAAGACAAGTAACTGAGTCTAATGTAGCCTTCAGTGTGGGTAATAAAGACAGAGCCACCCGTAGTCTCAGTTCCTGGATACATACTCTATTGGTTTTACAAAGGACTCTAGAAAAGAATGAGTTTCCTCACAAGGTTCTAGTTTTCAGGAGAGCTTGAAGGCCCTCGAGGTCTAGGTTCTCCCTTCTCTTCTCCTTCTTCTTCTCTCCTTCTCTCTCCTTCTCTCCTTTTTCTCCCTTCTCCTCCCTTCTCCCTTCTTTTCCCTTCTTCTCCCTTCCTTCTTCTCCCTTCTCCCTTTTCTCCCTTCTCCCTTCTCCCTTCTTCCTCCTCCTCCTCTTCCTCCTCCTCTTCCTCCTCCTCTTACTCCTTCTCCCTCCTCCCTCCTCTCTCTTCTCTCCTTTCTCATCCCCTTCTCCCTTTCTCCCCTTCTCCCCTTCCTTCTTCTCCCCTTCCTTCTTCTCCCCTTCCTTCTTCTCCCTTTCCTTCTCCCCTTCCTTCTTCTCCCCTTCCTTCTCCTGTTTCTTCTTCTTCCCTTCCTTCTTCTCCCCTTCCTTCTCCCCTTCTCCTCTCCTTCTCCTCCTCCTCCTTCTCCTCCTCCTTCTCCTCTTCCTCCTCCTCCTTCTCCTCCTCCTCCTTCTCCTCCTCCTTCTCCTCCTCCTCCTCCTCCTCCTCCTCCTCCTCCTCCTCCTCCTCCTCCTCTTCCTTCTCCTAGCACAGATGGTTGGTGAAGTGAATTATCCAGGAATGGGATGGGGTGGGTTGTCCTGCTCTGCATGGTGGCTGTCAGATTCTGGCTTGTTCCCTCATGCTTCTCTGTCTCCTGTTCAAAAGTAATAGGGAACACCCATGGCCACTGCTGCAGGTACTGATTGATATATAGAAGGCTTGCTTTTATCTGGTTTCCTGGTACCTTCTTGTCTATTGCCCAATGACTCCCCCACAGTGTGAAGGGAGCCAAGTTCTCCATCAGTGTGTAACTTGAACTTACCCTTTGTGCCTAAGACTACTCCTAGTCTTCTTAGGATTTTGACTGTTTACAGTAACAGGGAAAAAGAAGGTGATAAACAACCCAGTAGGTATACATTTTAAGTACAAACAGTGTCTTGAAAAAGACTGGTTGGTTGTTACATGTGTCTCTTCTGTGTTCCTGAATGTCTGTGCACCATCAATGTGCAGGAGCCTTTGGAGGCCAGAAAAGGATGTTGGATCCGTAGAGCTAAAGTAAGAGATGGCAGTGAGCCTTCTGGTGAGACTTGACTTTGCTTTTCTGTCCTGATAAAGATTTTGCATAAACTCGTGTACATTTTATCCAGAGTTTAAAATTTTAGCATAACTAAAATATACAGAGACAAAAGAAAACTAATTCTATAATCAAAGGTCAATTAGACATTTGTTACTAAAATATCATTAAAGTAAAAATAATATTATATATTTTTAAGTTTTGAAATACTAGAAGGGCAACTTAATTCCAGGTAAAAAATTTTTAATATGTCTGTGACAAAATTCTTGATGTATAAATTATGTTTGCATATGTACATATGTGTATACATGAGTGTACACATGTCTGTAGGCATGTGTGTATAACTTTTGTTAAGCTTGGCTTCTCAGCATGGCTTTCTACCATTTAAGTCTATATTTTACACTGTATTCAAACTTTTCATGCTTGAATAATTTTTCTTTTCAAAATATTTATTATTTTTAATTAAAGTATAATTATACCATTTCCCCCCTTCCCTTTACTCACCCAATGTTTGACTCTTGTAAGAATATTACTGTGCACTGAAAATAGCTTCCTAGAAGTCTTACTCCACATTACAAATGAAATTGATGTTTCCCTTGGCATCCCGTGATAGGCATAAAGAGTGCATGGTAAATGACAGAAGTGAAGCAATGCCTCTTATTTCAAAGACCTCAACCATGTGAGAAATGGAGGCCAGAACTCACACTGCTTCACATTTTCACACCTTACATTGAGTGTTGTTGTTGTTGAGTTCAATGCCAGGAGCTTCTGCCCATATTTAAGATGGCAGCAAGAATAAGGTTTGGTGAGGTAAGTTACATTTTATAGATTGTGATGGAATTCATAGAATTTACTGGGCTAACATACAGGATTACACAGCTCATTTTAAGTGGTGGGAGTTGTCTCTGTGGGAGTTGTGTTCTTAGGATCAAAGAGTCCAAGTTCTTACAGTGCTGGGAAGGGAACTGTATTCTAGAAGCTAAACTCACGCATGTTCTCAGTGAGTCCAGGTGGAGACTCCATAGACATGCAATCAGACATGAACACTTACGTTTGCATGTGGGTGGCTTTCCTCTGTTGCTCCACAGGCCATCTTCTTGACACACAGCAGTGGCTTGCTGACTGGCATCCAGCTTGAAGCCTTCATGACATTCGTAAGTCACTTTACTGTCTAAGGTGAACTCATTGCCCGTGAACGAGCCATTTCCTGGAGCCTCTGGAATTCCACAGGACACAGCTGAAAGGATAAGAAGAAAAAAAAATGCTTATTCTTACGAGACTTCGTTAAAATTTGTCTTTATGTTTCATCTCATAGACAGACTTATTAATCACCTTCTTCATGTCTGTCAAAAGTACACACATTTTCAGAATTTTAAGGATGCAAAAGATTCATGAGAAACAGTGGAAGAATTATTGAAATGGTAGAAAATAGTTCAGTGTCAAACACTGTATCAGAGAGATGCTGGAGGGAATGGGTGATGACTTTCACTTAGACACAGGCTAGTAACAGCATGCTTGTTTTGTTGTGTGTTCATGTACCAATCCTACATTCTACCTCAGGTGAGTGTGGAGAAAAGGACAAAGGTAGGCTACTTCTTTACCATCTCAACAATGGCTTTGATAATCAAGACCCACAGGAATTAGGCATGGATGTGCAGTTGCCCACCTCTGTTTCCTCTCCACTTTTCCTGACTTCTTTTCTTCCACACACAGGTTCTTTTAAAATATTCTGTGCTTTGCCTGGCAGTCCCTTCACTGGCTTCTGTGCTGGGAACATGGTCTCCTTGTAGAAACAAGGTGTGAGAATCTTTAAGAGCTGGGGGTAGGGGTCTGGAAGTTCTTATCCTGAAAGCAATTGCCTTCTCCTGGGATCCAGGGTAGTTCTCATGAGCTAACAAAGCTGTTGGAAGAGGAAGTCAGGCTTTTCCAAGTTCACTGGCTTCTTGACTCATCATAGGATCAAATTCTCTCAAACAAGCTCCCACCATGATACTTCCTGATGTGCAGGGGACTCTCACCAGTAATGACCCTACTCCATGCCACTTTTAGAAGTCCAGAACTGTGAGCCGGATGGATGTCTTTTCTCATAAATTACTCAGCCTTGTGAACTTTGCTATATGAACACAAAGGAGGCTGGTACAAAGGTGACCGGATTGCTCAAGCTCAGCTGCGCATCTAAATCAAAGCTAATAACTTCTAAATTACATGGAAAATTCAACTGACTACATTGTCTTCGGATAGACACACACACACACACACACACACACACACATGAATAAATAAATGAATGTTTTTCATGTGTTGGCTTTTGTTTATTTTTGATAACTTCATATATGTGCACAGTATGCTAGATGTCTACCCTATTACACTTTCCTACTCTCTCTCCTCCCACTCCTACTGAAACTTTTCTTTATAGACAGACTCAATTTCCTCTTCCTCATCCCTCTTCTCTCTTTCTCCTCCTCTCTTCTTCTTCTTTCCCTCCTCTTCCTCCTCTTTCTTCTTATCCTTCTTCTCCTCCTACTTTCTTTTTTCTCCTCCTCCTCCTCCTTCCTTCCTTCTCCTCCTCCTCCTTCCTTCCTTCTCCTCCTCTTCCTCCTCTTCCTCCTCCCTCCTCTTCCTCCTCCCTTCTTCTTCTTCCTCCTTCTCCTTCTCTCCTCTTCCTCCTCCTCCTCTTCCTCCTCTTCCTCCTCCCTCCTCTTCCTCCTCCCTTCTTCTTCTTCCTCCTTCTCCTTCTCTTCTCCTCCTCCTCCTCCTCCTCCTCTTCCTCCTCCCTCCTCTTCCTCCTCCCTTCTTCTTCTTCCTCCTTCTCCTTCTCTCCTCTTCCTCCTCCTCCTCTTCCTCCTCTTCCTCCTCCCTCCTCTTCCTCCTCCCTTCTTCTTCTTCCTCCTCCTCCTTCTCTCCTCCTCCTCCTCTTCCTCCTCTTCCTCCTCCCTCCTCTTCCTCCTCCCTTCTTCTTCTTCCTCCTCCTCCTTCTCTCCTCCTCCTCCTCCTCCTCCTCCTCCTCCTCCTCCTCCTTCTTCTGTTTTGGGAGTTTGGAAACACTGTGTTTCATTGGAGTTGGCATAAGTACAGACAAGGGGATCTTTACTGGGAGGTATACTTTTCACTGGCAACACCACTGAGTAAAATCACACCCTTTCTCCTAGCAACCATGAAGTACCAATAGAATTACAGAAAACAACAGGATCTTATCAACTCCTCTTCCATCCCTTGTAGAATATACTCTAAACTCATTCTTGTGCAGGTCTTTCTTATGCAGGAACCCTCAGCTGCTGTGAGTTCGAAGTCCCCACCATGTTTAAATGACAATGTCTCACAGAATTCCTCCCTGCCCTACAGTTCTAACATTCTCCATTTCATAATCCCAACCATTTGAAATATCTGTTTCATGTAATATAATATTAACTTATAACAAATGTCATCCTTATGTGTAACCATTATTTTGGGGAGAGTATTCAAAATAGCAAACAATAACTGCAGTTTTTCCCAAACCACCGTTTTCTGTCCAAGAAACTTGCCAGCAGACAAGCTATCCACCTGAAGCCTATTCAGTCTGTGAAAACTGATAATCTTTAATGAATGTAGGACATGTCATGGATATTGTCCTTTTTAAAAAGTTCTTTGTATCTCATTATGTTTCCATGTCTCCATTCCCCAGTATATATCTCTATTTCTCCCAGGTAACCACATACCTATCTTTAATCCTAATGTTCATCCCAACTTAACTACATACACCATGCCCCGTCTCCACTTCCTGTAAGATTCTTACTTAGGGGCAAGCATGGAATGAAATGACATCTCCTGCAGGTTAAGTGGGAAAGATAACATCCCACAAGCTCATAGGAACAACTCATAAAAGGAGCTCTTACCCAGGGGGCCAAGTCAGACAGCCTTACAGATGATTCTGTTCAACCTAAAATCTTTCAAAGGAAAGTGAACTCTGCTTTGGAGGACTCCGGAGAATCTTCTCTACATGGTCTGCTCAGTAATGAGCAGTCTGCTTCGAGATTTGAAGTACAGCTTCTATCCCCAGGAGAGTATTCATTAAAGGAGCTGGGGTGAGGGCCACTGCTGACTCTTCAGCCTTCAGTGACTTGCTTTCTGTGATTCCTTACTCTGTTCAACCCATGGGATTATATGTCTAAGACTCTGAACTAAAGCCAGCATTGTCTTCCATATTTAAACCACTAGGTAAAAATAAATGTTCCTACTCCATCGCTCTTCTGAAAAGACCTACCACTGATTCACAACTAACTGAGGGGAGAATCTCAGAAAACTTGGTGGAGAATCTCTCAGGATGCTTCTGTCATCATCAACAGAAATGAGAAAGATCTGGACCAAAGTTCATAGGTGTGAATCCTAATCCTGAATATTCCCAGAGCCAGTGATGTTCTTGGTCACATCACCTCTCTGACCTTCCACAGACAAGACACTCCAATGGTATTGTCCATAGACTCAGAAAATTATATGAATGGAGAGGTTTTAGAGCTCACAGTCCCATTTATCAACATTGTTATCATAGACAAAATTACTTGGGACATTTATTGATAAATCCCCTGGGAGAGTGGAAATGTATTTTCTATATATTACCTCATTCAACCCTTAACACATGCCAAAAGGTAGAATCAATCACTAATGTGTATTGTGAATAACATATTTTTAGGGCTATTATACCCTTACTGGACTTCTTCTATTGTTGTTACTATGTATTTTTATTTTATGTGCAAATACGTCAGCTTACCATGTATGTATATGGTAGCCAAGGAAGCAAGAAGTTGTCAGATCTCTGGGAATTGGAGTTACATATGTAGATGGTTGTGAGTTGCTATGCAGATGCTGGGAATCGAACCCTAAGCCCAAGCCCATGGAAGAACAACAGTGCTCTGAACCACTGATACCTCTTTCTAGCCTCCCTTTCCTGAATTTTTAGGAACCGTGCAAAGCTGTGATAGGGCTCATATCTCAGGTACTAGATACCTCTTGGTTATTGACACCAGACTACTACCCACAAACACATCTCAGAAAAATCAGTGGAGAGTCTCCCAGGCTGCTCCTGCCATCATCAACAGAAATGAGAAAGATCTAGACCAAAGTTCAGAGGTGTCAAGCCTAATCCTGAATATTCCCAGAGCCAGTGATGTTCTTGGTCATATCACCTCTCTGATCATAGATTTAATTTCCTGTCCAATATCAAGATAGTACCAGCCTACTAATTAACAGACAAGCAGGATAAAAATAATTTTTCAAAATGTAATCCTAAAAACAAAGGCCACAGTGCAGTTGATCATTTTTGCTAATATTCCCGAGGCTCCTTTGTCTGTTTTCTTCTCTGTCTTAGATTTCTCAAGTCACTTCTTTGAATACTTAGTGATGAATAAACCTCATGCTTGAAGCTTAACTGCATCTCATGGACACTCAACATCAATGGACTGTAAGGAACAAAAGGAAACCCACAGCACATGAAGAGGGAGAGACAGAAGCTCCCAAGTCTATTACTGGCCATGAAAATGGAACTGTAGAAATATGCAGGGCCACGGGTTAGCCTGAGAAATGTCTTTCACTTTGTTACAAGGGCTGAAGATAGTTGCTTAGAGGAAGGATGGATAGAGGGAGTTAAGAGTGGGGTTTGAAGAACCTAAATTATACAGACGAGCAATTTAAAATCCATGGGCAGTGTGACAATGGTCAGCTGTACAGTAGAATAGACCAGAATGTAACTGAGAGGCCTTTCAGCTCTTCTAAACTCTTGGAAACATTTAGCACAAGATAGCCCAAGGACAAAATAAAAAAAAAAAAAAAAACTGCAACTAACAAAATTATCACAAACGACTCCTTTCATGCCATCATGCAAGTGGTTGGTTAAGATGAATCTGGTCTTGTCTTAGAATCTCCAGAATATTTGCGTAGGTAACGTACCTAACATGAAACACATGTAACACAGCTGTAAAATACAGCTGCATCATCCACCTACTGGCACAAAGCCACAGAGAAGTATAGATAACAAAGTTGAAAAGTAACATTTATTTTTTAGGAATGCAAAGCAAAGTTTTAATGCAAAAAAAGCAAGCATCTAAAGAAAGATAACCAGAGGAATTTAAGACACAGGTGACCACTTGAGTTCAAGCTCTGACTCCAACATCTCAGGAGCTGCTACCCAGAGCTCCATGTCCCATAAGCAGACATAGCTCATGTAGGGGCACATGCATGGTGGCCACCATGAGGTGATAAGAGGAT